TTGTTGGAGAATTAGGCTTCTTCTTTTCAATGTTTCCAATGTTTTTCAGATACTATCTCAACAGTCAAAAACAAAGAACAGCTACCATTTCTTAAACATACATCATGCGGCAGGTCACTGTCCTGAACTCATTATATGACTGTTTTAACACAACTATCTTGTGAGGCAATTGGCTTATCCCTATTTAACAAATGAAGGTACCGAGGCTCAGAGATCTCAAATTATTTTTCCAAAGTGTCTCAGTAGTTTAGGGAAGGCTTGAACCCCAGTGTAGCTGCCTGTGCTATGCCACCTCCCTACCCAGACATGTACACAAATGAGACATATCAGTCAACAGAGGCCTAACAGACGACAGACTCCCAGTCATCTGAGGCCTACGCATGGAGGTGACACCACGTAGGTCTGTGTAACTCCATTCTGGTGTTCGCACAATGATAAATTTGCCTAACACATTTCTCAGAACATATAATATTGTTAAGGGACACATGACTGTAGAAAGTATGTTTTAGTTAACAGTCTGTTAGCTCTTTCATATATCTAGATGTCTGAAAGGCCAAGTAAATACCAGGTCAAGGAGGAAAAAAGTGAGCAGTGCTAGGGGAGTTTAGCTCTGTCTTCTCAGCCTCTCTCTCCAACATCATCTATGGCCTGAGGTTCATGTGGTAGGTTCAAAAAGGGGCTGGGAGGGAGGGAACCATGTCCTGCCATTTTTTCAGAAAGCCAGTAAAATAACACAAGGACATAAGCCAGTTTCTATCTGGATACATAGTGTTGAGTCTTGCCGGGGGAGCCTGACCATGATGGAACTACCCGAGCTGCATTTGATACATTCATTGTCCACAAAGTGATGCCGACTTTAGCTGCCCCAAGCATCTTGCTAGCATGGGTCACTTGCTCATTTATGCAAGTGGGAGGGAGGAGGAGCTAAACACAGTGCGACCCACTTGTTACAGACTCCACCATCACAGTGGCCTGATGTGCACATGATATAGGAGGCAGCTAGGCGGGAGGCTCAGTCCACAATCCTGGGGCTGGAGAAGGCATAAAAATCTGCTGACTTCAAAGGATGCATAGGTATAAAAGGATAAATGCAAAAAAGAGAGGAGAGGTATCTTTTTTGGGGCAGTGGGATCCATTCTGTAAGACTTGATTTTGCAGAGTTCATCCACTTCGAACAGAGCCCTGATCAAAATGTCCCCATGAAACGTAGCAAATTAGTTCTCAGATCAAGAGAAACTATGTTAGGGTCATGGGCATGAGAAATGGTGATTGAGCACAGAGATTCCAAACATGAGCTTTTGTGGGGGTTCTATCAAGTGCACTTTGGGGTGGGGGAGAGAAAACCTACCCAGAGACAAGGTCAACGGCTTCGCTGTGTCTTAGAGAACAGGGTGATGGTGACAGCCTGGCCCCCATCTGGACTCCCTGCCACCCAGGCAGGCTGTCTCAGGTGAGACTCATGCACACTTCCAACCCCATAAAAAGGGGAGACTACAAGGAGCCAGGCTTGGCTTTGCAGGAGCAGCTGCTTCCAACAGCTCAGAATGAGCTGAAGATCACAATGAGCTGTTTGGGAGGGAGAGGGGCACCCCAGTCCTGGATAAGTTTCAAGCATGGGAAGAAGGACCACTTTTAGGGGTGTTGTTGACGAGTTTCTGATACCAGGTCAGGGGTTAACTGTTAATATAACAAGATGCTAAAGTGGAAGTTTCCACCACAGCATCAAGGTGGGAAATTCAAAAGAAAGGGGCCAGACCATATTGTGGACATTTCTAAGAAGCTGACTTAGCTGGCTCAAAGATCCATAAGGAGGACAGACACAGTTTCAGGATAGTGCGAAGTGAGGTGGATTCTGTGGGAAAAATCTTTGAAAATGATCTGACTCCCACCTTCCCCAAGGGGGTAAGCCTGCCATCTCAAGCCTTCAGAAAAGGGTTTCAAAGGCAACATCTGTAGAGTCCCACAGCTGCCCTTGGAATCTGGGGACTGGTATGACACCTGCCTGAGATCAAAATGTGAGAGCGGCAGGTGAGGTGATCTCAGGTGTCAGAGTAGAGACTGTGTCGAGAAAGTGACTGCTGCTCTCTACTCCCACGGGGGCGGGGGGGGGGGCAGCCAGGGTCTCCTTAGCACAGGTTGTGCCCAAGAAGGGTTCAGTTGTAGGTGTGAGAGGTCCTCAAAGAGAGAAGCTGACAGGAAGCAAGAGGCTGCTGATAGATGGTAGAGGCACTGCTATAGTCCTGGAAGAGCGAGGTGGAAAGTTCAGTCAAAGAATGGTGGAGACTGCCACAGAAGTAGCCAGGGGAGAAAGACAGCCCCAATACCCATCAGCCAGGCTCCAACTTCCTCTCTGCCTCACCTAGAAAGGCCAGAAACAGTGGGGTGTTGGAGAGGGAGGCAGAGGCCCTCCCTGGAGGAAGTCTTCTCTGGAATGGCTGTGACTGACGCCCTAGAGTAAGCATTTCCAGTCTCCAGAGTGAACATATGTGAGTGTGTGTCTGACTTAAAGTGGCCGTAGTGACCCGAAAAGTCAGAGGCCTGATCAAGTTTTTAATCAAGAAATGCTGAAAAACACACTCCACTGAATAAACTTTCAAGGAACAGTGGGAGACAAGAATAAAACTATCTTCACTACCTCACAAGTCCTGCTGGGTTCTATTCACAGCTAACCTTTGCTAAGCACTGACTATGTGCTGATTCTTGGCCAAGGACTTTAGAGACATTACCTTATTACCTCCCCGTAAGTGCTCTGTGAAGCAGGTATGATTATCCCCTTTGTCTGAAGTTTGGAAAGGTCGGGCAACCTTCTCCGAGTCTCACAGGTAGGAAGTGAAGGATAGTTATGCATCATTTAGCAATATGGCAGGCAATGACAATCACAGGTGACACCATCTAGCCTTGGTGTGCAGTGGGCTATGCCATCTAAGTTTCTGTAATTAGATTCTGTGATGTTTGCCCAGCAACCAAATTGCCTAATGAGGCATTTCTCAGAAAGTATCCCCATTGTTAAGTGCCACATGACTGCAGTAGCTTGCACTTAACTGCAAGTCTAACCCTGAACTACATAGTCATCTGAACTGTAACCACAGATGAGTGGTTTTCAGGAGAAGTTGTGACTGAAGCAGGACAGCAACTTGCATCCTGCTCATCATTTCCTCTTGGGACTCCCTGAGCTAGAAAACCAAAGAACAGAACTCGAAAACACGGAACTGCAAAATTTTAGTGCACTCTTCCAATTCCGGCAGCAGTGGGTGGGACGGTGGAACAGGGTGAACCCATGACTGCAGACAGGGGGAAGAAAAAAAATTCAGAGTCTATGTTCTCAGCGAGGCAGCTGAAGAAGGTGGCCCCAGTAAATGGTGCTATCACAGGCCTGAGGTTCATAGAACTATAGTCATGTATATAAACACATAGTTCAGGTCATGCCTGACCAGCAGTTAGTATAGAACCTGGCACCAGAGTAAGTATTAGGTAAATGACAATGGAACTGCAAAATTTACATATACGTCTAAAAACCTCAATATGTAATTTAATGCAACATACTCAGCCACTGAGATCACTGTGTCTATTCCATAAGGAGCTATTTTATCATGGATGTTGAATATTATAGTTGAGCCAAGACAAGAAACACACAAAAGATTATGCTAACAAAATCTACAATTTAAGTCCATAGCAATAGCTCTTAAGTAGCAAGGAATCATGGGTTCTTATAGAAAAAAGTGATGGCAGCATGAGCCCTTTTTTCCATTAAAAAAGTGCAGATATGCAATTGTACAAGTAACCCAAGAAGCCCTTCACTGATTCGCTCACTGAATTGCAGCTCCTTTTAAGTCCTTTCATTGTCTCCAGATAATAACCACTCCTCTAGATCTGGGGGAGAGAACAAGAAGTCCTCAGGCCAGAGGCTGCTCACCTGATCTCCAGGTGGGCTCAACCATCTGCATCCTCTCCATATACTCACTGATGCCAGTCTCAGTCATGACACCAAATTTGCAGTTGGTGTCATTGTAAACTAAGATGCATCTAAGTTTAAAACCAAGTTTAATGGAATCCAAATTAAGAACTTCTAAATCAGTTGATTCTGGTGCCTAGAAATGTTAGCTGTTTGGCATGCTTTTTTCCTTCTTCTTCCTTCTGATAACAAAATTCTACTTTTTTTCATAAGGACCCCATTCCATGTAATTCTGGTGAGATGCACCCTCTGGGGGTGGAGAGGGGGCACATGAACAAGCTGTGGCCAAAGCAATACTGTGAATGGCCCCAGATAAAACCAGAAGGACCACACAGCTGAGCCCAACCCAAACACCAGTCCAGAGAATTGTGGGATAAAGAAATAATTGTTATTCTGAGCCAATAAATTTGGGGATAGTTTGTTACACAGCAAGAGCTAACTGTGAGCTAACCGGTACACACTGTAAATAACAATAACAACACAATATCAGGGTATGATGCCACATGAAACTCCAGAAACTCTTTCACATAAAAAAAATATTACTTTCCTTGCCTGAAAGGATGTTTTTTACCACTAGCAGAAATTTTATCTCACAACAATCACATTTAGATTCAGAGAGAGATGAGAGAAAAAAATAGAGCAATGAGGAAGCTAGCATGCTATAGCTGTGAGTCAATTTTCATTACAACACACTGCAAGGGACAGTCTGAATTCCTTGGCTGAAGTAATACAGGCAGTATCCAAAACAACAAAGTAACAAGTAGACCATCACAGGGGCCTGAAAATAGTTTCATTATAAAAAAATGCTTTTAACAGTATTTGGCACGTAATTATAGATCTTTTCTCTGACCATTTTTCTTAGCAAGAGAACATGGATTGATCCTTTTTTCAAAGTATGAAAACATCTTAAATAATTTCAGAGGGGGAAAAACTGTGAATAAACAGACATCTAATCATAGTACTGTAGGGATGCAGCATGTAAGTATAAATATCATTTCAAAAATAATGTCAAATAATCACTTTGTTCTAAAAATGAAAGAGAACTTACCAGTAAGATTTTGTGGGCCACACGGTTTTCAGGTCTGAAGTGGCAGAATGAGTCTGAAATAGAATTAAACAAACATCCATAAGTGAGTCACATTTGGAAAGGATGTGCCATGATATTGACTATTGATTCTTCCAGTTAAAGATTAGCAAGGCTTTTTCTGGCTTCTGGTGAGAGTTTTTCGCCTACATATTTCAACTTGCTGAAGAGAGAGCATTCTCTCATCTACTTTAGGGAGCGCTGAAAGTTGGAGGCCAGTATAACTATAAATGGTAGTGTTTTCATCCAAACCCCTCCAAGTTAGCAGAAGCCTCTCTAATTGTTGTTCATGCCCTGGTCCTTCAATTCCCTCTCCTAGGCTCAAACCATGGTTCCCTTTTGGAATCAATTAAAAAATAGTCCAGTATATCTTTCAGGACAATGGGAGGGATGTATAAGTCCTTCCAACAATGGTCCCCTGAGCACAAATAACCACAAATGTGCGATTTATTGATAATGGTGCGCCAAAGGCGGTGCTGTTCAATGGGAATGTAACACAGCAACATGCATAATTTAAAATTTTCTAGTAGCTACATTAAAAAAGCAAAATGAAAGATGAGATTAATTTCAATCATATATTTAATTTAACCTAATTTATTCAGTACATTATCATTTCCTTATGTAACCAATATAAAACCTTTTTTTAATGAGACATTTTACATTTTTTTTTTACACTAAATCTTCAAGATCCAGTTCATCTTAACTTGGGCTAGTCACATTTCATGTAGCCATTAGCCACTCAGGCTGCTACACTAGCTGGCATAGACCTAGGGAATCTATTCTTGGTCTTTGGGTGCTGGCAAGGCTCCAAAGCCAGTCAAATCCATATGAAGATTTATTGATTTATTTATCCTTCTTCGAGTAACCTATCATTACCCCATTTCGAGATGTCATTTAGTAAAACAAGAATGTAATAATAGCAAACACTTACATAGCACCTGCTGTGTGCCAGGAACTGTTCTCAGCATGTTCCTGTGTTAACTAATCCTTGCAATAAATTCATGAGGTAAGTATAGTATCATTCCAGTTTTAATAAGGAAAATGAAACACAGAGAGGCAAAGTACCTTAGGTTTATAAGCTAGAGAGAGAGCTGGGATTCTCATCTACATAGTCTGCCTCCAGAGCCCATGCCCTAAGCCACTATATTTTTGATTAAATTTAAATGGTTAAAAATAAAATCATTACTTTCTGTTTTAATGAGAACCATCATGTGATCCCAGGCTGCTATCATGATGCCTACATAGACCCAGATAATAGCAGTGATGGTAGAGGGAAGAATTATGGAATGTACTAGTAAACTGAATTAAAAACAATTTGGGGTAGAAGCATAGAAACCAAAAGTCAGTCTCGGGTTAAAAAGACTGCACTGGGTCTGGAGACCTGTTTGAATAAGTGAGGTAAGGCTAGAGGGGAGATTACATGGGTTCCTTGCAAAATCTTGTTTGTGATTTTTCTGAGGGAAGGTTCTATCATTTTTATAATTTTTAAATAGGCATTTAAGAGAGAAATCTTAGTGTCTGCCTGTGAGAGAGGAAAGATTAAGTAGAAGGGAACTTAGAAAATACATTCTTTTCACATTATTAATCAGTGGATCCCCAAAAAATAAAACCCAGTAAGCAACAGCAGAGTCCCACATTGCCAGCTCAAATCTGGAGTGGTTGGTGACCCTGTTTAGAATCAACCAGGCATGCGGCTCGGGCCACTGTGGGATGCTTTTGCCCAGTCTCGCATGAAGTCCTTCAGAAGCCTCTTCCAGGATTTAGAGTCAAGTTCAAATTCTTAGCACAATCTGAAAAGCCCTCAGGTCTGGAGCCTGCCCACTTCCTGGGGGTTCACCCACAGGCATCCTATCTTTTAGTCACACCGACCTATTTGCAGGTCCCCAAATGCCCCACACTTGCACTCCTCAGTGGCTTGGCGGATAGCCACAATTGTGTCTTCAAGCCTCAGTTTAAAAGCTACCACCCCCAGGAAGCCTTCATGAATACTCTTGGCTGACTTAGGGATCACTTCTGCAATAATACAGTAAAGTAGCATTCATTCAATTGAATTGAAAATTATGTACTACTACGAATAATAATAAAAACAGAATTTATGGAACTGTGTGCATGCTCTGTCCCAAGTGCTTTACATGACCTTTTAATCCTCTCAGCAATCATATGAAGTAGTTTTATTACCCTGTTTAGCAGGTGAGCAAACTGAGGCACAGGGGTTAAGACAGTAGCCTAAAGTCACACAGCTTATACGGGGCAGCATCAGACTGTGATCCCAGAAAGCCAGGCTCCAGTGCCTGCATACTCACTGGCTGGTTATATTGTGCTGCCTCCCACTGGGTTCCACTGCCCTCTGCTCTCATGCCCAAGTACTTCCCTCTGTTACTGCCAGGGACTCCTGCATTTCAGTTTTTCATTTACTGGTCTCTGCCTACTTGTTTTCAGGCTGAGAACGTATCTAATTCATTTATGTCCTTCCAGGACCTGGCAAGGTGTTTGATATACTGTAGATGTTCAATAAAAGCACCCACAGGAAAATACTGAAATAGCATAGGAGGTATGGGGAACAGGGCTATAAACCTAGGCTGAATAAAGTCACACCAGGATAAAGGATTTGAGCATGCACTTTAACCACACAAGTTTCAACATCATCTTTTAAATCCAGCCTGTGCTGTGTGGGGGTCACTCCTCAGCCTGTTCAGTACTAGAGGGTACAGAAGCAACTCTTCATGGCTGACTTGATCATGGCATTAACAAATTCACTGGCATCATTTTACTTTGCCTGGAGGTCTAAGCAACATCACACGTATAAAAGCCTCAGCTGATACTATAAAGGAATGCCAGAAGACACTGTCAACAAAAAAGGACATAAACACTCTTTTAAAAAGTTATCATAGTGGGACCTCCCTGGTGGCAGAAGGGGTTAAGTCTTAGCACTATCAAGCAATGGGCAGTCACTGCAGCATGAGTTCAATACCCAGTCAGGGAGCTGACCCACATGGCGCAGCAGACCTCTCCTGTCTCTCCTGCTGCTCCCCTCAGCAGTGAATTTCAGTAGATCCGCCTCTTCTGCTCCCCACTCTGTCTCTGGTGAATCCTCTCACCCCCCATACCTCTGGCCTAGACCCCAGCTCTTGTATGCATAAATAAATAATCACAAAAATATTTTCATAGTGTCAAATAACTCAATATGAACATGTATGCACGCACGCGCGCGCGCTCACACACACACACACACACACACACTTTAAGTAATAGTCTTGAAAATTTTCCCTTGCTGTCTGGTTGTGGCTTTGTCATTCTCTAGGGTTTCACAAAATATTTCTTTTCATCACTATTTAAACTCTCCACAGATGGATAAAAAAAGCAACTTTGTAGGAAGACACTCTCCTCTTTCTCTAATATTGTGAAAGATGAGTTTCAAGATCTGGGACATACGCGGACCTCTAGGGAGAAAAAGAGCTCTTTCTAGTTCCCATCAGAGACGGCATCAGCCTACCCACTCACAGACAAATGTAATTAGCTGTAACACCCACCCTTCTTACTGTGTCCAGAATGTACAAGAAACCAGCAACTTCCCTTGTACATGGAAGTCAGCATCATCTGATTTATTAACAACCAAACTGCAGATCTGTATTTTGACTTTTACTATCTCATCTCCTTCCATGATAAACATTAATTTAATTATTACTGAGAGGTTCACTGAGTGCAAATTATATGCCCGGGATGGCTGTAGGTGCCACAGATGCTGCAGTGAATGAGGCAAATGAGGTTCCTGACATAGGAGCCTGCGCACCATACTAGGAGGCAGAAAACAAGTATACAAAGAAGTCAGATAATGCCAAACAGTGGTTGTTTGTAACATAAATAAATTCTACACATTTCTGCATATAAGCACAAGTGTCAGAACCTACTGAAGAGTTGAACTGGGTCAACGGTGGCTTCACTGGGGGAGAAATAGGTTGAGACGGAGAAAAAATTCTGATGTGACCTCATTAATATTAGGAAGTCCAAATGGAGATGTCAAAAACCATTAAGGGGCCTCCCTGGTGGCTCAAGGGGTTAAGCACCACACTATGAAGCAATCCGCAGCCTCTGCAGCACAAGTTCGATCCCTGGCCTGCCAGGGAGCTACCCACATGGCACAGCAGACCTCTCCTGACTTGCCCACTACTCCCCTCAGCAGTGTATTTCAGTCAGTCTGCCTGTTCTGTTCCCCACTCTGTCTCTGGTGAATCCTCTCACCCCCTGCATCTCTGGCCTGTATCCCAGCTCTTGTTTGCCTAAATAAATAAATCTTAAAAAAATATATATATATTAAGTCTAGAACTATCCTGTCCTGTATAGTAGTCACTTGCACATGTGGGGATTTAAATGAAAAAAATTTTTTCCCCATTTCCCCAGCTGCACGAGTCACATTTCAAGTGGTCAGGTAGACACAGAAGCAGCTGTGTTGAGCAGCACAGAGGGAGAGCACTTCCATGGTCATAAAAGTTCTATTGGGCAGAGCTGTCCTATAACTAACATGATGACTACTAGACCTTTTTCATTATTCTAAAGTTTATTGCAGGTAAAACACCCCACAAAATTATAGCCCTGGGAGATCCTTACCTTTGAATGGCAACTGAATTCTGATCTCTCTGAATGCATTTGTTTCTAGTTTCATTTTAATTCTCTAGACAGTAACATAATAAAATAATACTGTGGGAGAGTGGGGGGTGAACACTAGATTTATAGGCCTGGCTCCCAATTCCCTTCATTACCAGTGACTACCAGCAAATCACTTACCTTACACTTGCTCAGTTTCCCCAGTTACAAAATGAGAAGTGACCCTGTGTGGATTATATTAAGAAGTATGTTGGAGAAATGTTTCTAACACTCAAAGCATCTCCGCTGTTCTTTAGTCAGGTGCATTATGTTTTTACTTGCAAATTCTGACGTGATACTCTTTCAAATGGTCAAATGGATATAAAAGGGCCCTTGAAATGTCTAAAATACCCTACTGGGGTCTCCCCTGGTG